GGATGAGCTTATATCTTTGAAAATGTCAATATTTGAGAAAATACAGGGCATTTTAACAAATATCTTGTGAACTATTGACATTTTTTAAGATATAAGCTCATCCTGATGTTACACTCATCAAAACCTTTCATTTGAGTACCCACATGCACTTTTGATATATTTTTCATATATACATATATATAATATATATAAATATATAAAATATATGAAAAATTGATGTGGGTATTCAAATGAAAGCTCTTAATGATTGCAACATCAGGATGAGCTTATATCTTAAAAAATGTCAATATTTAAAAAAGTACAGTGCAATTTAACAAAATTAATTATTTAATTAAACAAAATTTCATTTATTCACAACATGTAATTGTTTGCAGTCACATAGTGACTGCAAATTGCTAGTACAATTTTATTAAATTTGTTACTAAAAAAATTCCGATTTTTTGTCATAAATTCCCAATAATATATTTATTAAAAATTGCAGATGCCGCAATACACAAGAAGCATTAGACAAATGCGTCCTAAAACACATGAACCTTGAGCGACCACCCTACGGTTACTTCTGCGAGGTAAAAGTACACGACACAAAGCGACCCAAGCCCGTAGAAGAGCTTCCAGTCTACGAGCCGATTCAGTCGCTTCCTGAGGACGCTCCTAAGCCACCAGCCAAGTTCGGTCCCAGATGGATGTTCTAAATTAACAACAAACTCTTTAAATTTAGAATTATTGGGAGCAAAGATTTCCAATTATTATTAGTCCTTGAGTCTGTACACTGCCCGAACATCAGAGGTTTGTAACATAACACAATATATATCTTCGATCTAAAATAATAATAATAAAATTAAAATTTATTTATTCTGTCACCGGACTTGTAACAGGATATTTAAGTTGTACAGACAATAAATAAATCATACTGTAATTAATTTTTATTTATTATTTATATTGCACATTTAACATAAATTGCATTAAAATAATAATATTACGTCGGAAGACTTTTTTTTTTTTATTGAAATTTGATTTAATTTTTTTAATAAAGAAAATTTTAGTAAATTTTTTTTATCAATAAATTCTATTTAATTTGTTAAGAAAAATTTTTTTTTAAAAGCATCTCTAGATACATAATTAAGAAATGACCTTGTATCTTGTAAACTATTGACATTTTTAAAGATATAAGCTCATCCTGGTGTTACACTCATCGAGACCGTTCATTTGAGTACCCACATCAATTTTTTATATATTTTATATATTTATATATATTATATATATGTATATATGAAAAATATATAAAAAATTGATGTGGGTACTCAAATGAAAGCTCTTGATGAGTGTAATGTCAAGATGAGCTTATCTCTTAAAAAATGTCAATAATTAAGAAATGACGTTGTATTTTGTCTACCGATGACATTTTCAAAGATATAAGCTCATCTTGGCATTACACTCATCAAGACCTTTCGTTTGAGTACTCACACCAATTTTTCATATATTTCATATATTTATATATATTATTATATATATGTATATATGAAAAATGCCTGTAGGTACTCAAATGAAAGCTCTTGATGAGTACAACCTCAGGATGAGCTTATATTTTAAAAAATGTCAATATTTAAAAAAGTACAGTGCAATTTAACAAAAGTCATTAATTATTAAAACAAAATTTTAATTTTCTATAGTACTAAATAATTTATAAAAAAAAAAAATTGTTTTATTTAAATAATTATTTTTTTTTTTTTTTTTTTTATACAACTGCACTAAAATATATTTACAAAAGCAGCAGATAAAAAATTCAAAAATCTAAAATTTTTTTTAACAAGCATAAATAAACTCGCAAGAAATTCCTTCCGAGCTCTAGCTATTTTTTTATAAACTATATTAATGTATAATATATATTTATATATAATGGAATTAAGAGGTTACTTTAAAACTCGACTCAATTATACAATTACAAATTAGCTAATTTTAAAATTTACGGGAGGTAGTCGATCGGCAAAGTTTTCCCTTTGGCTTTTCCAACAGAACATTGGAGTGTTGGATCCCTTTGCCAGGTACGAATTTATTGATTTTATTTTTTATTAATATTAATATTTTTTTTTTTTAATTGTCTCGTTCTCTCTCTTCTTCTTAATTTAATTTAATAGTCTACAATTTTTATTTTAAATAAACTGGTAAGCTATCACTGGTTCCAGGATACGGAACTGTTTATAGTGGCGCACTTTGTGTTAGCTCCAACTTATGTCGTAACCTTTCCAGTTCATGTTTGGTGCAAGGTGCACTCGTCTTTTGTTGTAAAAGAAGGTTATCACACCTCTGTAGCCGGTTCTTGGAACTCCGCTCTGAAAAAAATAGTTTTTTTAATTATAATTTATAATTTATTAATTGTGAATTATTGACATTTTTAAAGATATAAGCTCATCCCGATGTTA